TGATAGACCCTGAAAGGAAAGACAGCCTCACATAGAAGGAGAGATACCTTATAAAATTAACACTCATTCAACATCTACTCTATCCAACCATAACCTCCCAGAGTGGCAGAGCACCCCAATTCCCTAACCATCCCTGGAACTGCATCATGATGCACCTCAAGCCATCACCATCACTCCACGTGATTCTACACTACAGGCCCCCATAGTTGGAAGCAGAAGAATATGCTTCCCCTCTGTGCACCACTCCTTCTTTGCTTCCATTTGTACACTCCATCAAACCTCCTGGAAGGCTTCGCTTCTGGGATGCCAGTGGCCTTATGGCACCTGCAACAGACAGAAGAAGGAACTCTAGAGCCTGCTTGTTGATAACTACTGGCTATCCCCAAAAACCAACATAGACAACCTCCACCCAAACAGGCCACACCCACCACCACACTGCCATTCCCTGCTTGGACCATTCTACCCCACCCAGAATGGCTACAAACACACAAAGCAGCTCCACCTCAAACACATACATCTACATGCTCCACAAACATGACCTAAGGATGCAGGACTACCACACAGGGTAGAGTTAATGCCAGACCAAATGACACAGCCTGACCATACGCGCAATAATGCCAAGGCCACGCGACACAGATCCCCCAGTGTGGCCTGCTGTGCAAAAATGCCAAAATACTGGATGAAAGATGGGTGATAACACCCTAGCAACCGATGAGGACAAAATGCGGGGAAAAACTAAAGGCTATGATGACACAGGGAAGAACTCCCTGGAAGACCTCACAAGAGAGAGTCACGGTGACTATACCAGTGGTCAAGCCCGAGAAAGAGCAGCGTGAAAGACCAACCAAATCCACCTACAATGCTAAACCAGATCTGTAACACCGAGCTTCTATGTCACACTGCTAAGCAAGACGGAATAGGCACTGTGCCAATAACTCAAGGCTGCGAGATGCAGTGGATGCACAGTAGGATATGAGTATGCCTGAGGCTCCTCAAGCATGAAGGCCAAGACAAACATCACACATCACGTAACTAAGGAACACATACGAACACACAGTAGACATACTGCACAACTTGACCCACTCACCCCAGAGCTACTTTGCCAGGGCACGTATCTCAAAAGAAGTATCCCTTGCCATTTCTAGTTTCTTGCCACAAGGTGCCTGCAAGAACAATATGAAAAGTATTGCTGACTTACAGGCTTCCCACATGCTACCGCACGATTCAGTTGAGATCTGCTCAACTCCCACTCACATCAACACTGGCTCTACAAGGTCATGCAATGGAGGTAGATGCAATGCACTTGCCAGTTTAGTGCTGTACAATGTAACGCTTTCAGATCAGGCAAACCCAAACACAACACTGGAGATGCACTGCCACACACAGGCCCCAGGCCTGCTCTCTGCCCCCAGACTTAACAAAACTTAAATAGCCCTCCCGCCAACCCTGATGTCATACCCCCTCTGCTGACTCCACCCCACCCACCACTTTGGGCCCAAACAGTGGAATGTTTGATAGCAGATGGTAGATGGTGGATTGAGGGATGGTGGATGGCACACAGTGAATGGTGGGAAGATGGATGGTTGTTGGTGGGTTCTGGATTGTGAGATGGCAGATGGTGGATTGTGGGAGGGTGGATGGTGTGATGGTGGAAGGTGGATCGTGGATGGTGGACTGTGGGATGGTGGATAGTGGGATGGTGGACTGTTATGGTGGGAAGGTGGATGTTGGATGGTGGATTGTGTGATGGTGGAAGGCAGACGGTGGATGGTGTATTCAGTGTTGAATTGTGGGATTGTGGATGGTGGATTGTGGGAAAGTGGATGGTGGATACTGCATGGTGCATTGTGGGATGCTGGATGGTGGATGGTCAATGGTGGATTGTGGAATGGTGGATGGTGGGAAGGTGGATGGTAGATGGTGTGTGATGGATTGTGGGATGGTGGGTGGTGGGTTGTGGATAGTGGATGGTGAGAAGGTGTTTGGTGGATGGTGGATTGTTTGATCATGGATTGTGGGATGGTAGATGATGGATTGTGGGATGGTGGGAAGGTGGATGGTGGATAGTTGTTGGATTGTGGAATGGCAGATGGTGGATGTTGGGAAGGTGGATGGTGCATTGTGGATTGTGGATTGTGTGATGGTGGATGGTGAATGGTGTATTTTTGGATGGTGGACGGTGGATGCTGGAATGAGTGATGGTATATTGTGGATGGTACATTGTGGGATGGTGGATTGTGTGATGGTTGATGGTGGATTGTGAATGGTGGATTGTGGGATAGTGGATGGTGGATTGTGTGATGGTGGATGGTGGACCATGGAATGTAGGATGGCAGGACTGTGCTGAGGTCGCTTGCCCACAGTCACATGCTAACTGCTCCCCTGGTCCTCATGGAGCCCCTGCAGCTCCAGCTGCATTGGGGGCATCTCGAAGTGGGGCCCGGAGCTGTTTCCAGGGTTGGGGGGCCAGGGGCAGTTGTGGACCTTCCTCCCACTGTTGCTGGTCCATGTCTGCAATGCTCACAACAGCTCTCCTAGTACAGGTGGGGCACCGCTCACCTGGGGGATGCAAGTTTGGTGGCCTTTTTGGTCCTAGGCAGCTGCAGTTTTTCCAACTGAGCCACAAGGCAGCATCAGGTGCTTGGCCAGTGCTGGAGTCAGGCGGCCTGTGCCACAGCCACCTCCTCCTTGACCCGCAGAGTACACCAATGGGTTGTGGCAATGCTTGCACCCACCTCCACCCAGTAACATGGTGCTTGCTGGAGCGCTGCCAGCCTGGCTGTGCCTGTACACCTGGCAAGGTATAGCTGTGTGCCCCCCCAAGCCCTCCAGGGTCCCCCTGACATCCCCCCACCACAGGGACCCTACCCTGCTGGTTGTGGCCAGGCAGGCTGGGGCAGTTGGGAGCATCTCTGGTCACTGCCGGGTCCCCTCTGACCTGTGCCACTGCCAGCTGTCCCCCACCCTGCCTGGGGCCCACAGTCTCTCACTGAGGTGTGGGGTGTAGGTGAGGAGGGGTCACACATGGAGAGAGGGCACATGTGGGAAGGGGCACATATGAGGAGGGGGCACGCATGGGAAAGGGCACTTGTGGGGATGGAACATTTGTAGGCAGGGGGCATTTATGGGCAGGAGGTGCCCATGGGGAGAGGGGACTTGAGAGGTATGTGTGGGGAGGGAGCACTGGTGGGTGAGGGTCACTTGTGGGGAAGGTGCCCACATGGGCAGAGAGGGTACCCGTGGGACAGGGCCCTGCATGGGCAGAAGTTTGAGGCCACCATGAGCTCCTGCCCCATGTACTGGGAGGAGTGGCCACGTAAGGGCCCTGCGCCCCACAGTACAGCCAGGCGCCCACCAGGACACCGTGGGACAGAGGCGCTGGGGCAGGGTGGCACTGTTGCTGTGTCTGTCCCCACAGAGGTGCCGCCCTCCATGTGCCGCCACATCACCGAGCTGTGGACCATCGCCAAGGGGCCATGCACCTGCCCGCCATTGAGGTCAGCTACTGCACCGGGCGCTGCCACTCCCGCACCACCGTCACGGCTGAGGTTTCCCCCTGGTGCAGCATCTCGACCCTGTGGTGTTGCCAGTGTGGCAGCTGCCAGAGGGAGCAGTTGAAGGGGGAAGCAGGGTGGGGGCAGGCCCCCCAGGGTGCAGCATCTTCATCCCATCATCCCATGGTGTCTGGTGTTGTTGGTGCGGCAGCCGCCAGGGGAAGCGGGGG